TTAAAACAGATTTGGATTATAAATAATCTTAAGTCTTAAATTGCTTTTCCTAACCTTCCAAAAAGCATTGAGGAATTAAATGTAAACATCCAAACAGTTTAGACTTCCTCAATATTTTTAATAAGAATAGATATATGCTGAATCTCACAGGATTTATTATTCATCTAAATATATCTTGAAAATTTTATCAAACATGTTCATTAATACCAAATTTATTATAAAAATGACTGAATTGGATAATAAAATCTGACAGCAAATGATTTCAAATAATTCATTAAAATATACGGTTTGAGTTGTATGTAGAAAGTACTGAAAAGAAAAAGTATAGTTTGAACAAAGTTGTAAGTAGCGTTAAAGCAGGACTTTAAAATGTTGAGCTATAGAAATCTAAATATAAAAAGCAGTACTGAAAAATTATTGGCTTGATGCATTTTCCCAAAATCTAACTAAATGACATTAGAGTTTTTTTGTAATCTCTTCTTAGTTAACACCTTGTATATTTAAAAGAAAACTATCAAGTTTACTGTTATAAGCAATGCATTATAAAAGCAGTATCAATATGTTTGAGGAAACTTTTCAATATACCATATACAACATGACAACACCATTTATTATATATTAATGAATGTTAAAATATTGTTATAAAAACTTTCTTAATCTTAAACATTAACTCATCTCTTCTTCTTTCGAAAACCTTTGCTGAGAAAATAAAAACAATAAAGAGTAGAAAAACAAATTTACAAAAATGATCTCATTTCTTTAGATGACATGGATTCTAGCAGCAAATGCAATATTGGAAGGTTGTTAGTGCATGTGTGTTTGATAAAAAAAAACATTATTCAAATAAAGATAACACTCAGAGATTAATTGACTTTAATTTAACAGGCATATTTATATCAAAAAAGAGAAAAATTAATCTGTAAAAAGAATTAGAATATTATTGCAGCATTTTTTCACACACATATGAAGGGTGATCAAGTTTAATTAAAAGTGTTAACATATTTTACAAAAGAATTTTTTGGTAAGCAAAAAATAAAAATAAATCAAAAATTAAAAAAATCAGTCATTTTATATAACACAGAACAAATTGAGTACAATTTAAACTTATGAAAAAAAAGAAAACAAACATCCAACAAAATTGAGTACAATTAATAGCAAAAAACAGACATGATATACAAGCTATCTCAAATTTGTACTTAATACACACACAGATGAACAACTTCTATATGCTTATAAATTAATGTTTTATCAATCACATCCAAGTTACATGTTGATTTCATTGAGTATATTTTATATACTCAATGAAAAGATACAGCCAATTTTTTTAAACAGTTAACTATTACCTATTTTATAGGGTCTTCTTGATGAATTCTATTACAGCCTATGACTATTTTTTAAACTATTCTAAGGTTAGATTATTTATCTAGTTTCTTATAACTTTCAACTTTAACAAAACATACCAACTATGAAATGAATAGAAGAAAGTGAAATACATTAATAGTCATTTTTGTTTATAAAAAACAGTTTAAAAACCCCTTTTCTACTAAGGTGATTACCTAAATATACCACCAATACATAAATTCCAGTCCAGAAAGAATTATGTAATATGATTCTCTGCAGCTATAAGTTTAATGTTCAAAGAATTCTGTGGAAGATTACATTTAGTTTCATTTTATAAATTTAAAAAAGATAGATAAAAACATATTTCCATATTTATTCCATCTTAAATTTTATTTATATAGAATTCATAAGCAAATTGATTTTTAATGTGAATTACAAATTCCATGATTTTTATAGAGTTTCTTGAGAAATTTATTAGTCAAAGTCACCTAACTTGGTATTTTTAGACATTAAGAAAAGTTTTAATGGAATGTTTTTTCTCTGACTCAGTGTATTAGTGAACATATCTTAGGTTGTAAATACAGATGAATTAAACAATCTTAAACACTAGCTGGTCTCAACATGTATATACAATGAATCATTCAAAATGGATTGTTAGATATTCTAAGCAAAACAATTAATGATTTTTAGATTTTATAAAATTACAATCATTATTTCTTTTAAAAATAAAAACAATTCTTATTTCCCTACCTAACTCAAAAGAAGCAAATCCTTAGATTACCAACATTTAAGATTAAAAGTACAACCCTTCAAATTGCTATAATGAAAGAGGATTAACTTACATAGCTCCTAAACTTTTGACTCCACAGATACCAATTCATAGTTCTTATTGAAAACAATTTCTTTAGTTGGCTTTCATATATAATGGGAAATGAATAAACATGAATTTTATTTGAGATATCTTATATATCTGCTTGCACAAAAACATGCAGAATCACATATGACTAAAGAATTATTTAGAAGAAAATGTTAAGAATGGAGCAGACTTACAAATGTGACATTGATAGAAGTGGGGAAAACCTACCTTCCCAAATGTTGAACCGTTTTCTTCAATGGTAGAATGTCTAATAATGGTGTTCCACAAGGCAAGCAATCATAATTATCTCCCTTGAGTGAGAGAAGGAAAGTAGGATCAGTAGAAGTGCTTATTGTAAGAACGTTGTACAGTGGACATTTCCAGATAATACTGTTGGAGTCTCACTTTGAAAGTCACAGCAGGGTTTTAAATACCACTTAATTTAAACTTCTACATACCCTCTTAAAATCAGTTAAGGCAATTAATCAACACTATAATTTAACATAACTGGTATCTCATTACAGATCTTAACTGGTATAAGTAAGTTGGTTTTCACTGAATAAACATTTAATATAATGAGATCAATAAATACAACTATCTTTTTTAAAAATGTTTAAAAATATGAAGAATTGTTAAAAAGAACTCTTAAAATTTATCCTTTTTTATTTGGTTATTCAACTGTCTAATAATTATAAGGTGTTGCTCAAATCCTAAATAAAAAAAAACTTTTATTTATTTTTTCTTATAAATTTTAATCATATTCTTAACAAATATATCTATATTAAAAAAAATAAAAACTTAATACTAATTTTTCATGGATATGCAATCCCAAGTCTCTCTACCAAGTAAAGCTTATATTTTTTCCATATTAAAGAGCTCCAAATTGATCGTTGTATGAGAAGCTATTACTATTTGATCATAATATTATGAAAGGCAAGTTTGCCATGATAATATTATAATCAAATTCTTTATAATAAAGATTTTAGACAGCAATCTATGTTGACCGTGAAAAACTCAAATTAAACACTGTTCTTTTATTTACTAACAGCTAACTGCTGTATTCTTAACCACACCCTCTTTTTTTTTTTTTTACAATTGTGACAGGGAAGTAGACCTGTACTGAAAATGATATTCACACCAAAAAAGTTGATAAATAATAAGAATTTCTGTAGATGCCAACTTTTAGATAATGCATGTTGGATAGTAGATTATGTATATGAAGGATTATTAGATGTTGTATTCAGTGAAAAGTTTGTTTTCTTGATTCATTTTCTATGGCTTATCAACCCTTTCACTGAGAAGTGATATTTAGCTACCCACCCGACAAGGGTTACATATGGCACAAGGCTGGGTTTAACGTGGGATTTCCGAGCCCATAGGCTCGGCCAAAAAATATTCCCTCTTTGAACCCACATAAACGGGTTCAGGGGCAGTCAACCACCCCGAACGAGACTCTGCTCTTTGGCGGAGCCTCGTCCGGGTTCCTCTCCACCCGAAATCAGAGAGTTAGACTGTTACTTAGCCCGGAGCCAAGAAGTATCAATATGTTTGAGAAGTACAATGAGAAATATGTATACAGTGATATATATATATATGCATTATTAGTAGGGCTGGTTTTACTTTATTCCTAGAGATCAAGTTAATAAATAAGTAAACTGGAGATCAAAGATCACTTTGTTTCAGGAAAAAAGGACAAACATATAGGGTAGGGTGGAGAAAAGATTACAATGTTGATTGCTTGTGTACATGCAGGTCTAATGCAGCTTAAATATTTGCAAAAAGAAAAGACTAGAGAAGGATAAAACTAATAACAATATGTATAGGTTATTTGTTATACAAGCTATAAAAGTATGTAGAGTTTATTTGTATTTGTTTCAATGGTAGGGATTCCCAACCTGTTTATACCAAGGATCTTTGCATAATTTATATTAGACCTTTCCAAAATGAGGTATGCACCCACTTGGAGGAGAGAGTGGGAGGAGGCTGTATAAAAATTCTGGGAGACAAGGTTATGAGTGCAATTCCAAAATCTTTTTAAAATGTATAATCTAGCTTTAGAATCATTTGTTAGTGGTTATTAGAAATATTTCCTGCCAAAAATAAAACTTTACAATTCTGTACCTAAAAAATGGATAAACAAATCTACAAATTTAATAATAACCATCCCCCAAAATTCTATAATATTCAAATAATGACAGGATACTATTTTCTATTTTAATTTCTTTTAAAAAAAGTGAAGTTTGAGAAGGCCTAAAATAATTCCATAAGGTTGTAATGGAGATGAAGTATCAACTATTGCCATGTTAATAGAATATAACAAAAACCCTGAATAAAAAAAATTGAAACTTATTAATACATTTCAAAATATGTAGCTTTATCAGAGTAATCATGCTAAATATTTAACAATTATATTTTATTTAACTTTCTTATCATTATTTTTGAGGACCTTAGGTTGGAAATCCCTGAATTGATGAACTGTAAACATAATATTACAATTGAGTTTTGTTCATTGATTAGTAATTGATAACCATCACCACATGAAAAGTATTTGCTAAATTTTAAACAATGTATTTCATAAATTAGTCCAAAAGAAAGCCAGAGCTGATTGTTGAAGTGAAAAGTTAAAAAAAATTAATAGAAAAGCTTTAATTCTTTAGGTGAAAAATCTTTGAACCATTTGCCAAGGTATTAATGAAAGCTTACAATTCATAAATTGTACAAAACATATATGAAAGAAATCAAACCACATGCCTTCATATAGCTGGAGCCAAAAACAACAATGGTAAAAGTTGTCACAACTTACCATGGTATACCCGCAAAATAGCTTCACAGACAAATTTGTATTGACTCTGGAAAAAAATACAACACAATGTTTTAAGCATGAACTTTAAAAACAAAATAAATAAAGAAGTGTTGGACTTGATAAAGATTTCAATGTAAAAATAGATTTTTAACAAAAGTTTGTAAAACTTTACTTACAGCTGTCTGTATTAGCATTGCCCTCTGGTCTCTCATCTGTCGAACTATTGCCAGTGGGAATACTGTTTGATTGGCTTCTACCAAACACATTGCTGTCTCCATAGTGATTAGCACACCTGTTCGACCAATACCAGCACTAGAAATAAATAGGGAAGAGTAATAACATAAATCCAATATACACATTCTTGCAGAACCCAATAGAGACCAAATATTCCACAGACTTAAAATGAAAGTTATAAATTTTAAAAACAAAACATTACATTCTTACCCTTTTTTTTAAATTTCTATATTTAGTTTTTATAAAACTCTTGCAAGAAACAGCAAAGAAAGATAAAGTGTAGCAAAATTGTATTTGATAAAATGGTGTTGAGCAATCAAAGTAATTTCTATATACTTTCACCTTAGTAAATTGGCTTCACTTTTAATTAAAGCAGCATTATGGTCAGACCCATTCTGATGAGCAAGTAATGCAGTGAGTGTGTTGTTTTACAAAATATCCCTTTTGTGTTCATATAATCTTTTATTTAAATTGCTCGAGGTTTCACCTATCTATTCCTTGTGAAAATCATTACAGGTGATAGTGTAAATTCCTCCTTCAAATTTAAGCTTATTATTATTTTGTTTTGTATTAATTAAATCTCTAATTGTTTTATAAGGAGCTGTAATAAATATAACTTTGTATGCATTACAGGAAGTAGCTTAATAAATGTTTATAATTGAATTTACATTTTGCTAGGATTTCAAAAAATAATTTTCTGTTAGCAGAGAAATAAATAAATATAATATCTTGAACCTACCTGCAATGGACCACAGTTGGCTCCACCATTCCTATTCGGTTCTTACGCACCCTGATGACAAAATCTAAAAAGTCAGCAGGATCATCAGGTACTCCATGATCTGGCCAGGCAATGTACTGCATATGTTTAATATGCCGTTCTTGATTTGTCTGAAAATGTCAACAATAAGATATGTTAATAACTTCAAATTAAGATAAAAATAAACTTACATTCACTAAGGAATATTTTTAGCAATAATAAATTTCCTAATAAATTACTTATTCAGGAAATTTCTAGAAAAGGCATATGTAAACAAAGTTATTGAAAATGATAATATTGAATTTATCATTAATAAAAATTATATTCATGAAAATCATGTTATATTGAAGCTTAAAAAAATTTGATTTCCAAGGAAAAAATATACAGCATAGAAGTCTACTAAAGCTTAACATGATTTTCTATTAGCAACAAATTAGAAAACTTTATTAAAAGAAAACACCCAGTAACATTTTTAGACTTTACTTTTTTTTAAACAGAAATCTGAAAGAGTAAAATTTGAATTACTGGAAACAAAATATGAAGAACATTAAGAGAACTAACTTATGTTAAGAATTGGATGATATTTAATAATAGCAAAGTAAGGTTAATCTGGATTCCTAGCTTGAAAAAGACTGGATTTATACATAGCATGAAATTATAACTTTTGTATTTGAACCATAATAACAATAATTGAAATACTGTTTTATGCATTTATTAAAGGAAATACTCAAACATGCATATTAATTATTTTTGCAGTATGTTGGGAATTAGAAAAATAATTTAATCTCTAGAATTAGAAAAAAGTCATCTTGTAAAGGTTTTACATACCTCTACATGTGTAAATTGTAAAATGCAAACAAAGGATAGGTTTTTTCTTCTAAATCAAATTGTAAATTTAAAGACACCAAAGTCAGTTGTTTCATATAAGTCAGGCCAGTACTGGTGGCATTTTACCTACAAATATAAGAAAGCAAAAAAAAAAAAAAAGTAACTGATGAAATATGAGCCAAGAGAGAGACAAGCCAAAGTTGAAAAAATGGTGAAAATTATATTTTACTGTAATTGATGTCAGAATTTTTGAGATCATGAAATATTATTATTATATGTCTTTACATTCAAGACAGGATTTGTTTATATATATATATATATATATATATATATATATATATGATGTCACACATTATGAAATGGACAAAGTCCGACAATTATTTTAAGACATTTTTATGTTTATACATTTTTTTTATAGATACAAATATTTAAGTAAATGCTCTGTTTTATAATAAACAGTATTAAACAACATTTACCAACCTGAATGTCCGAGAAATTAAAAATAGAAAATTTTCATCCTCTGACAGGAATCAAACCTGTTTATCCTATACAGAACCATCATCAGAAACTGACATGCCTTAACTGTTGTTGGGCCAGACAGAGGTTCAAAGGCAAGGTCGATTTTACTGTCTTTAAAACTTTAAACTTCCATGAATCTCTAAATACATTCATATGCTCAAAATGGTATCAAATGTAAAAAAATAGAATTCACACATTTCAAAATGGACAAAGTCTGACAATTATTAAAAGACATTTTTATGTTTATACATTCTTTTTATAGATAAAAAAAGGTTTGACCTCATAAGCGACAAAAGTTTCGAGTTATTGTAGTGAAAAAGCCTGCCCTCTTGGTAACTCTGATCATGCAGTAGTATCTGTTAACATATCCTTCAATTTTGAAACATTTTTTTTTTTTTGCAAAGAACCTCCTACCACTAGAACTTCATTCTTATATAAAATTGGAGCTGACTGGGATGCATTAATTGTTGATTTTTCCCTTGAAATGTCCCCTGGGATGAATTTCCTCCCTCCCCGTTGAAGAATGTGCTTTGAGGTCTCAAAAAATGGCTTAAAGCTGGAATCGATGCTTTCATCCCTCAAGGAAATAGAGGGAACAAAAAACTCCTCCCCTGGTTCTCGCTGCTTGCTCAGCCGCCATCGCCCATAGGAACCACTTTTTTCACATATTCCGTAGATAAATCTGATAACAATAGACGTCTCTTTGCCTCCGCCCGTTGAGTGTAAGCATGTCCTCAACAATGCTAAGTCAGTATTTGCTGCTTGGATGAAGGGCGTATTGCATCTCAAAAATTTGGCTCCAAAGATTATTGGCATCTCTGCAAGAGCGTATTGAACAATTAGCAAACCCTCTATACCTTCTTTGTTCAACCAGTTCGAAGTCCTGACCTCCTCTGCCGACAAGGCTGAATGCTTTAAAAAAGAAATTTTCATTCAACTCGACGCTCGACTCTTCCGGTGTACCCATACCCAATTTCCCTCTTAGAACTGAGATATATATTGAGTGGGTTAAACATAACCCCATCATTGGTATTGGCGTTATCTCCAATTTAGAGAAAAACAAGGCTAGTGGTGGAGACGGGATACCAGCCATTGTCTTGAAGAAATAATTGCGCCTGAACTGGCGCCCGCCCTTTCTAAACTATACAACTACTGCCTCAAGGAATCTTGTTTTTCCTGACTGCTGGAAGTCCTCTTCGATTGTTTCTGTCTTCAAGAACTCTGGCAACCCCTCTGACCCTTCCAATTACCGTCCTATCAGTCTCCTACCCTCTTCGGTTCATCTTTGAATTTATAATCAATAAAAGGTGGTTAAAACCTCACATCCCATGATCTGGTCTCAGACAAGCAATATGGTTTCTGCTTTGCCCGATCTACAGCTGATATGCTTACGGCCATCACTAAAACTGTCTACCAAGCTCTTCAAAATAACGGGGGAAGCTCCGAGCCGTGGCCCTAGACATCTCCAAAGCATTTGATAGGGTTTGGCATTTTTAGAATTTTCTTTCAAGCTCCAGGGTTATGGCATTACGGGTCGATTGTTTGACCTAATACAATCATTCCTGTCAAACCGTGAATTGAAGGTCGTTCTCAACGGATTCTCCTCCAGTTCCTATCCCACGAACGCAGGTGTTCCTCAAGGCTCCATCCTAGGCCCCACTCTATTCCTTATCTACATAAATGACCTTCCTGACGCCATAAATTCCCAAGTTGGCATCTATGCGGATGACACCACAATTTATTCCTGCCTCAAAAACAAATCTAGTGTCACTGACAAAACTAACCTGGCCATGTGTCTCGAAAAGGACCTCCAATCGGTTGTGAACTGGGGCAGGAATTGGCTGGTCAACTTTAATGCTTCAAAAACAAAACTGCTCTCTATTAATCACCACACTTCCCTGCCCTCCATTAGAATGTCTGATGCTCAACTTCTCGAGAGCAACTCTCTGAGACTGCTCGGTCTCACGTTGACTGCTGACCTGAGATGGAACAAATACATTGAGTGAATTGCTTCGTCCACCGCAAGGAAAGTTGGCTCCCTGTGCCACACCAGGAAATTTTTCTCTCTGGAATCGATCCTCCAGATCTACAAATCAACAATTTGCCCTTGCATGGAGTATTGCTGCCATATATGGTCTGGAGCCTTTTCTGTTTGCCTTGGGGTTCTTGAAAGGGTCCAGAGGCCAATATGCAATATAATTGGCCCTGCTCTGGCATCTCGTCTACAGTCACTTTCTCACAGACGTGCCATTGCCTCTCTCTGTCTGTTTTACAAATACTTTCATGGTAATTGCTCCGAGGAGCTGCATTCGCTGGTTCCCAGACTTCATGAGTTCAAGCGCCCTACAAGGCTGGCATCCCGCTCTCACCCCTTCACTGTGGAAACTTCTAAATGTATCCGTCTCTTCTACTCTAATAGCTTCATGTCTCGCACCTCTCGCCTGTGGAACTCCCTTCCCTATTCCAGTTTCTCTGAGAGCTATAATCTCCAGCTATTCAAATGTAATGTCAATCGACATCTCCAGTTGCCTTGATCTATCCACTACCCTTCTTCTCATCCTTTCTTCTATCACTCCTATCTGATCTTGCTCCAAATTTTCTGTAGCCCCTTGCATCCTAGTAGCTTCCCACCTTGCTTGAGGTGAAACGCTTAAAAAAAAAAAAAAAATGTCTGCATCTTGAGATGAGCTTGGATTTTTTATTTAATAATTTATTTTGGTCTGGGAAGGCAATGATAGCTATTTTTTCCTCCAAGTAAAGTTTGCAAGTTGTTCATTGGTTGTTGTAGGCTGATAATCTTTTCCTTATTTTCCAAGATATTTTTTGGTGTGATGTGCATTTTGTTTTAAAATTTCCCAGATATATTAGAAAGCATTGTGCTAAAAATATATTTACTATAAAATGAAAAGAGATTTTGTGTGCATAATTTCTGTTTTTTCAGGGTCCTTCAGTTACTCCTATATATACTTTTCTTCATTATCTGGTGATTTTATCAGAAAATGATATATTACATTGTTTTTTAAACAATTACCATTTTAAAGGACATTCATTTTTTTATTCTAACAGTAAAAAAATTGGGTTTATTTTGTTTTTTGTGGTTTGTTGATAATTTTCCTGTTGTATTTTTTTATTATTTGTGCCATGTTCACTGTTTTGGGTGGTTTGTTTTTTGTGTTTTAAAATGGTTTATCATTCTTTTTCTGTTTGGTTTATAATTGCCTTCTCTTAGGTTGAAGGTCACATCTAGAAAATATTTTACTTTGTTTAGATTAGTTTTATATCTATGTCGAATCCATTATTTTTGAAAATCTTTATTATTGCTTTTAAAATAGTTTTGTCTGTGTTTTTGTTTGTTACAGTTTCTTAAGATTATGAGACTTTTGTCCCTGTAGATTCCTGTGTCATTTCTATCTATTATTTTTTATTTAGTTATGTAGTAAGTAAAACCTATGATAAGCCCAGTAATGCATGCCTGCATTGTCAAAGCTTCCCATTGTAAATCAAATATGAATTTCATCATCCTATTTGATGAGAACCAAAAATTAATACATGGTTACATCTTATGGTATAATAAAATTTTGGCAGTGGCCATACTATCTGTCTGTTGCAACCCAGGTTTGATCCAGGATTGACCGAGGTGTGCATGTTATAACAGTAACCAGTTGTGATGTATTAATAAATACAGAATGAATTGTAAGAATTTATAGAAACCAATCACATTTCTGTAATCCTTTGTCATTGATAGCTCAATTTAAAAGTCAAAGTTAGTTTATTTTACGTGGGTTTTGCAACAGATAAGCAGATAATACATTGTCTTATCATTCACTTTTACTCACAGTTCTCCTTGTTGGTTGCAGAGAAAGTAAATATATTGTTGAAATGGAGTTGAAAGTATAAGAAAATACAATACAAGGAAGACAATGATATTCCTTGACAAACATTATAATGTTAAGTCTCTCTTGTTGGTTGCCCTTTTGTCATTGGATAAATTGTGAGAATATATTTACTTTCAGTTGATTCACTGTCTTTTTGGAATTGTTATCTAGAGTTCAAATACAAACACCTTTATTCTTTGCCTGTTTACATTGCTTCTTTCTGCTTTAACTAATCTATCTTCATTCCTCATAGCACTCTTTAATTTATATATATATATTGTGTATAAAAGATATTCCAAACTAGCCAGAAAATATAGTCAAGGTTGCATCTTCTAGTCCGACAATAAATGGAGACAACTGCTATACTAGCTATCATAGACATGCATATTTGTGCTTATAACAAACATCTAAATCTCCCTCTCTGTTGAGTGATATACATATAACTCCTTCTATTGTTTCTGCTATCATCTCTAATCTAGATTCCCAAAAAACAAGTGAACCTGATGGTATCCTTATAATAGTCCTTAAGAAGTTTGCTCACAAACTGGCTCCAGATACTCTAAACTGTATAATAAATGTCACACTGCCTCTTGAAAATCCTGTTCCAGCTTTTAAGAACTCAGGTGAACCATCCTGCCATTCCAACTATTGGCCTATTAGCCTTCTACATCTTTCTGAGAAACTACTAAAAACTAATGCTGAATTGGTTAGGCATCTAATAACGCAGGGCCTTCTTTCAGACAAGCAATATGGCTTATGTTTCTCCAGGTCAAATGCTGGTGTACTGATGATAATTATGAAGCTATCAAGATCTAGATAAAAATGGTGAAGCTTGGGCTGTGGCCAAAAACTTTTGACAGGGTTTGACATACAGGTCTTCTTCACAAGTTGAAAAGTTATCGTGTCTCTAGACAAATTTTTGAACTGATCCAGTCTTTCTTATCAAGTTGTGAAATGAATGTTTTCCTGAACAGCCACTCTTCTAGATCATTTTGTAATAATACAGGTGTCACCAGAGCTTATATCCTTGGTCCTACTTTGTTTTTAATTTTCATTAATGACCTTTCTGATGACACCAGCTCTTAACTTGGTATCTATGCTGATGACACAACCATTTATTCCTGTCTTGATACTATGTCATGATCAGTCCGATAAGGTTAAATTGTTTTTTTGATGTCAAAAAAAAACAACTTTCAGTCTGTTGTTAACTGATTTATTTTTAATTCTAACACCTCCAAAACTAAACTTTTTTCTATTAATCATCTGAGAGACCACTTTATGCTTTCCATGAGCATGGTTAATGCTAACTTTCAAGAGAATGACTCATTGCACCTTCTTGGGCTAACTTTGTTGGCTGGCATGAAGTGGAAAGACTATATAGAATTCATTGTTTGGTCAGTTGCTAAGAAAGTTGGTTCACTGTGTCATACCAGACATTTTTTTCTTTCCAGAATCTATCTTACATATCTATAAGTCTACCATTCACCGATGCTTAGAATATTTCTGCCACATATGGTCCAGTGCTCCTGCTATATATCTAGAAATCCTTGATAAAATCCAAAGAAATATTATCAGTTCTGATCTGGTGTCTCAGCTTCAGTCACCTTTCTTTTTATTTGTAATGTTGTCTCCTGTTAATTTCAAATTTTCTATAAATTTTTCATGGTAATTGTTCGGATAAACTCTTCAGTATGGTACCTAGATTTTATGAATTTAAGCACAGTACTAGACTAGCAACAAGGTCTCATCAATTTACACTTGAGTTGACTAGATATAACTGTAAGTTCTATGTTAATAATTTCTTTCTCACATTTCTTGCTTGCAGAACTGCCTTCCAGTCAAATTTAATCTTCAAAAATTTAAATGCAATGTCAATCACTATCTACTGTCCTCTTGATTACTCTTCTTTTGTTCTTGCTCCTTACTAATATTTCTGTTTTGTAATTCTTTCACCTCCAGTAACCCCTTGTGTCTTAGGGACTTTACTGCCTTACATGGGTTGAACTCCATTAAAAAATAAAATTTGGAATATTTCTGCAATGCAAAAACTTATCAAACATGAAGATTGGTATTGATAAACACAAAATATATAAGATTCTATTTTAAAATATTATAAGATTATATATCCATTTTTGATTAATAATAAGCTAAAATAATATAATACATGCTTTTTAGGTCTATAAAAATTTATATAGGTTAAAAACTATTATTTTTTGTACAAAGTAACTTTTCTACAGGGATAGGATTTCATTTTTAACTTAAAATCTATTTTCCAGTGAAATATTCAAAATAAGATTCATATAAGTAAATAAGAACAATAGTTAATGAGGCAAAGGGAAGAATATTTCAGCAGATAAAAGCAATTTATACTGCACTACATTAGTAATTTTAAATTGATCTTTAAATAAACATCAAAAACTGTTTCAGACTTATGAATTGCTTCCAATATTATAAGTGATATTAAGAAGTTGGCAAATGAAGAAGTAGTATTCAATGAAATAAACTTCTACTTACCCGTCCTCGTTCAACTTTGGTGGTAAGCATAACTACCAAAGTACAGTGCTGTTCCCACACCATCTGTAAAATCAAAACAAATGTTGATTTTACTATTACAGAGAAATACAATGATTTCTGTCTGAATTTCTAGAATAACAATAACAAAGATGAAGACAATAGTCTGCATGTAAATAGTGTATGACTTTTACATAATAATTGTATAGTATCAAATTTTAAGTAACTTAAAATAGGAATTAGATATTGGAATCCAGTGGAAGAATAAAATTAAAAAAAAAAAAACTATTTCCATAAAGAAATATTCTACTTAACTAATATTAACTTAATTCAGTTATACAGTACTTGAAATTTTATTAACTGAGTTTGTAAAAACTTAAGATCAGAAGATAAAGTTAAATTTGAAATCTATCAATCTTTTCATTTTTCTGAGACTGATAAAAAATAGAACTAACAAAGAAATGTAAAACCAAAAGTAATCTTTATTTTTTATATTCATTTGTTATTGATGTTTTTAGCAAAAAAAAAAACTAATTTGACAAAGCTGATTTAAAAGTTCGGCAAAAGAATTCTAAGGATCAGATTACAAAAGGCTTCAAATGTGATAAATCAAAGAAAATCTTTCATCTGTTATAACAAAACAAAAGCATTATAGTAAAGAAGTACATTATTGTAATTATTCTTTACTTTGGATATTCATGTGAAATTTCTGTCACATAACAAAAATAACATTTAAGAAATGAGAAGACAGTTGATTACTTACCTGCCAAAAATCAGCACAGGTGTTGGGAAGTGGACCCTGGGCAGCAATATACCGGTTAATAATCCCTGAACCAGGGATTTCCATCTAAAAATAATTAAAAATATTTTGCATATCTGAGCACTTTCGGCTATTCTTTATCAAGGGCAATTTTTATTTTTTATTTCTAACTAAATATGTGGTTTTTTTATGTATGTGTCTAAAGTTATAGGAATGTTTTGTTTTCTGAAGACAGTCAGCAGAGTGTGGTTGCATTCATTGTTTAATGTTATTGAGTGTTGGCTTTTCCATTTTTTATTATTAGGGCTTCCATTATTTTTAATCTTTTTTTTTATATGTGGATGAGGCTATTATACTTATATTTTCTACTAGTATGTTTTGGATGGAGTCTAGTAGGTTTTTGTGTGAGTCCTAATGGAGCTATGATCAGGTAGGTGTAACATAAATCATCTAAATAGGCATGTAGTAGTGTGACCGATGTAATTATTTCTGAGTTTGGTTTAATCAGGAACACATTTCCTTAAGGGGTATTTGAACTCATAAATAATGTTGGTTCTTTGTAGTTTTGATTTAGCAGGTGTGTTGTTATTTTTTAGGATAAGTTTAGCTGTTTAAAATTTTTTGTAGAAAGAGATAGTCAATGAGGTAGTTAGGAAAACCATTGTTAACTAGCATCTGTTTTACATTATTGAATTCTTTAAGGAAAAGTGGATGAAAGGATGAATTATTGTGTGCTCTCTTTAGGACATATTTTATAACTGCTATTTTATATCTAAGTGAGTATCCACTCTTAAAATTAAGGTAGCAAGAGTTTCAGCTAGTGGGTTTTTTATATAATGAATTGGTGAATGTGATATTAATGAATTCTACAAGAATGTCTTAGAATGGGAGTTTTTTTTTTTTTACTCACTTCATACATAATGTTAAGAACAGAGGGTTTTTTTTTAATGTGGTTTTGAGATTATCACTTTCTTGTTTGTTTTTCAATAAAATAAAAATATCATCTACATAGTGGACATATATTTTGGGTTTTGTGATTTTTTTCTACATGGGACATGTAGTTGGAGAAGCCACGATTCCCCATACTAATACCATTACCTTGGGTGTAGATATTGCCATTAAGGTCATAGAAAGAGATTTTAGTTGTGCAGGTATACAATAATTTTTTGAAGATATTTGGCTTGATGGATGGAGATGGAATGGAATTATTTTTATATACGGAGTTAAGGATTTTGTCAATAGTTTGATCAATGGGTACATTTGTAAATAAATTTTCAACATCAAGTGATGCTAAAATACCTTGGGTTAGTTGTATAGATTTTATAATTTGAAGGAATTCATGGGTTGATGTGGTGTTGTAATTAATAGGCAGGTATGGAGTAATTATATTGTTAAGGAATTTTGATAGCTCGTAGGTAGGGGTTGATTTTATTTTATTTTTATATTTACATATAAGTATCAGTGTTGGTAGTCTCTTATATATATATATATATATATATATATACATATATATATATTATGGAAATAAAAAAAGCAAGATCAACTTTATCGTTCATAAAAAAAAAACAATTAACCAGTTTCGCCCTCACTCAACAGAGCTGGAATTGAGGGAATAAATGTCACAATATAAAATATAAAATACATGTACATATTAAAGGCAGAACAATCAGATTGAAATAATGTCATGGCCCAACAGACATTCCCTCTGTTTACAGAGAGAGGGATGTCTGGACCTGACATAGATTGTTTCTGATGCTTTTAAATGTAAGAACGAGTGAGCATGACTAAGAATGGTAAAAGAATCGGTGCTGAAATTGGTGGCACAATTTGGATTATTTATAAAATGCTCTGTGATGGTGGAACCATATGTGTTGTTGACCATGTCACTAAATTGGAATGTACCATTCCTAATTTTTCTAGGTATGTGCTGATGTATTCTCATGTTTAGCCATAGGGTAGTTCTACCTATGTAGTCGGCTCCACAACTACATCTAAATTGATAAATCACATGGTTAATATGGTAGGAGGGTAGAACATCCTTTCAAGTAAACATCCATACTGGTAGAAAAGACAACATGTCAACACATACATTAGCTGAAAAATAACAATTTTTCAACTACGGAGCTAATCTGTTTGGCAAATTTTCCACTTACTGTACTCAACCAAGACAAATGCAAATAAATAGAGCACAGTAGCAATACTCAGTTTCAGTTTAGAAAAATTAGAGATTTTCTTATTCATAACTGACTTAATTACATCCAATAGGTACCCATTATGAGCTAAAGTTTTGGTAATTGTTTCTAACTCTTCATCTAATTTAAATTTTGAGCAAATCCTTAGAGCTCTATATGTTAGGGTACTGATTAAATTTTCTTTACATTTGTTGGGACAGAATGCATCCCACTGAATGTATAGTCCAGTAAAAGTTGGTTTGTGGTAAATTGATGTGATGTAACCAGATGGAGTTCTAGTTACGAAAACATCCAAAAAAGATAAAGTGGAATTGGTTTCCATTGTATAATTTAATGCCAGATGTATATCATTAATATCATTAAGTAAAAAAAAAAAATTAGTCTCCATTACATTCTCAAAGAGGCAAAATGTGTCATCAACATAACAATATACATCAATGGTTTGGCAGTTCCAGAAAATAGATGATTTTTATGAAAGCCCACAAAAATATTTGCCAAAGCTGGTTCCAGGACTGAACACACAGACTCCGTCAATTTGCCTATACATTGTGTCATTGAAACTAAATTCCACAGACATAACAGCAAATCTTATTAACTCAACAAATACATTTTCCAGAATGGCAGGTAGAGATATCTGGCTATGATACAGAAAATCAGTACAGATATCAATCGTTTCTGAAATAGGCACACAGTTAAACAGGTTGTTAATGTAAAATGAACACATAAATTTATTAGTCAAATTAGAACTGGCTTAGTGGTATTATAAATATAGCATTTTAATTAGGGAAGTTTAGATTTAAAAACTAGTTTCTTCTGTTATATATTTGGTACCTCCACTAAAATCACAATACCTAAGATTTAAATTAATTTTTAAAAATGCAAAAGCTTTCTTGAAACTTTCATTTTAGCTTTAATTGAAAGCTAAAAGATTAAATTTACTTTTTCCAGTAAGCAAAATACTGTAGTGTATTTCAAACAGAAATTATATTGATTGAAATCGATTTTCATTTTTTTTTCAGTAACATTGTCAAAGTCATCCACTTTTGAGATAATTGTAAATACAAGTTAGTTCTTCGTTTTAAAAATCTTCCAAAAATAAAATATACTTTTCTGAAACATTATTTCATGAATATTCGCTGATTTAAAGTATAATTAATCATATTTGAAACAAATATTATTTACTTTAAGTTTAAAATAATGCAGAAATTAATTTTATAACCAAACAGTAGATGTATTTTTAACTGACAGTAGCCGTGTTTACATGTTTGATGTGGTGATGAGAGATTGATTGCTGTTCTATGAAGACTTTATCTGTAAAACATAATTTAAGAAAATGATGCAAGCTCATAAATGTCTTTCATCAAGTTTGGGGCCTTTTTCATCATGCTATGCTTTTTTTTAGCAAAAATGTGGAGGCACCTTATATATATATATATATATATATATATATATATATATATATTAATTAATTAATTAATTTTATGATTAAATGACAAAGTAAATATTTGTTCATATGTTTGTTTTTACCCACTATTTCATTTTTCTTATTTAGTAGCTTGTTTGGGTTTTCTAAAACTACTTATTTGTAATTTTTCTTCTAAGCATAATTTGTTACTTACCATTGCCTGAAGAAGTACAATCAAAGTATTGTAACATGAAAGCTTATGTAGCAATTTCAACATATTTTATTATAATTTCTTATAATAATAATAATATATATATATATATATATATATATATATATATATATATATATATATATATACGTATATTGTGTATTTGGGCAGCAACCTTTCTTTCATGTATCTTTCATTGAAAATTGCCAACAAGGAAAATTTAATCTTTTATAAAGTTTTTCCAGCAATCTAAAATCCGTTTTTCAAAATATAGAAATATCCATAGTTATAACTGTCCCGAAGTACCTTTGGCTACTTCTCTAGCCATTAATGACTTGAGAATTAGCGTTTAAGTATCATATATATATATATATATATATATATATATATATATATATATATATTATTTTATTTATTATAATTTTATCATATAGACAAAACCATTGAACATTGGAATTTATATATTACTTTCGTTCTCATCGCATCGGATATATATATATATATGTAAAAACCTCTCAGAATTAACCTGTAGAGAAAGACAGTATGTATTAAGGAAAAAGACAATAGGAAAACTTTTGTTTTAGCCAATGTGTTTTGTCCAATGTAGACTTTTTCAAGGCAAAAAACGAATTGAATTTATTGGAACTGAAATTGTTATTTATGAGATCTCTTTTATGCATATAGATGCATTTTTTAAATTTCTGCAAGTTTCTCCAATGTATTGTGAAGAACAGTTTTGACAACTTATTTTATATATGCCTGCTTCACAAATATTATTGCTATGAGTGTTTGAAGATCTGATCATATCCATATTAGTTTTGGAAGTGTTTGTAATTATTTTGAGATTATTTAGATGGGATAGGTTGTTCTGGATAATGGACGTGACAGAGTTGGTTGGTAGTATTATGTATCTCATATAATTTATTATTACGGATGATGCTGTTATTTTTGTTGCTGTTGTGTATTTTGTATGCCTTTCTTCTTGCATTGTGTATGAAATGATATGGGTATTGTGGGTTTGTGAATGTGTTTTCTATGTATGTTTCTTCTTTAGGTAAATTTTGGGAGCTACAGAATCTTAATGCTCTCAAATAGAAACCTATAATAATTCCAGATTTAATGTTAAAAGAGTGGTTTGAGTAGAAATTGACCAGGTCATTTTTGTTGGTAGCTTTTCTTAAACGTCAAAATTGAGTCAAAAAGAGACCTCATAAATAACAATTTAACAAATGCACCAGTCACACAAAGAAATAAATACAACCACAATTTTGATTTTATAAATGCTACACTCATAAAAAATAAAAATAATTAATTCAGAAGGAAAATCCTCAAGAATGTTGCCATTGAATATTATCCAAATATTAATCTACACCCAGGTTTTTTTTCCCAATATCACCTTTCCTAACAGAATCACTACTCTCCCAAGCCAACATACACAACAAATATATCAAGAAATCAAAAGAATTTAAATACAACAACACAATACAAACAATATTTCTACACATGAAAATATTCTCTTCAAACATAAAGTAATTGATGCAATTTTTCAATTGACCATATGAATATACAATAGCATTTCTAAATTCTTCTAATTGCTAATGACATTTTGTTTGTCTATAGATACTTTGTTTCAATGGATTCATTTTGTTTTTTGCCTTGAAAAAGTCCACATTGGACAAAACGTGGCAGCTAAAACAACAGTTTTCCTACTGTCTTTTTCTTTAATACACACACACACACACACACAAATGTACATATAATTTGGGAAAATTAAGTATTAATAATGTAGTCCTTTACATGTTATGATTTATTTATAATCAACTTTTGAGTGGCTTTTTTAGTGTGCACTGTATATTAAAAATTAATAAACTGTTAATTAATTTTCAAAAATTAACCTGTGGTAGTAGCAAATTTCTTTGAATTTAAATGGATGTATTTTTCAGCTATATTGAAGTCTAATTGATAGCATTCATAAATTGATCTAATAAAATATAATCATATCAATATTTCTGCAACTGAACATTGTTTTTATATGTGGACAATTTCTGAATACTTGGAGAAATTAAGAAAAATCTAACTCACATTTACAAAATTAGCATTTATGTAATCTCCATTTTGACTGCCTTTCAATATCACTCGGGTCTGGTCATCTACAATTAACATACAAGTTTAGTCATGTTATACAGTTATGAATTACATGTATAATACAAGTTAGAAAAATTATTAAATTATGTTTACTAAAAATCTAAACTATAATAAAGAATAATGATAAAATCATGTAAAGCTCATCATCTAAACAATATATGTGCATATAATTTAATCTGATGAAATTTAAATGATAATCACAAAAGTTGATATGAAAATATTATTTTCTAGCATGTGCTAAGAATCAACAAAATTATATTCCGTAGCTAAGTTAGAGTTGACTGCAAAACAGAGAATTATTTCCCTTTAGAAAGAAAATATAATGTTTTCAATCTTCTCTTTGAAGTATAATTCATGCACGGGTTTTATATGTAAGGAACACTATAAATGATCACAAAGATAAAATGTAAGAATTTTCTTTTTTATGAGGAAAAAATGTAAGATGGTTTCTCAGGAAATAAGATTTGAGATTCTTAAGCCATTTTGATTTTAAATGTATGTTTAATTATTATGCAATAAATTTTAATATGATTTCATCATGCAGAACCTCCACCATGAAGCAGTTACTGCTGTTTTCCAGAGGAATCAGGTAAAAACTGTTTTATGGGTACAGGAATCTTAATAAGTGACCATATGTTTTCCCTCATCAGTGTAAACAAGTTGAACAGCAGTAAAAAGAAGACTTACAAGGTGACACATCTCTATATCTATTTTTGGGGATATTGGCAGGTAATCGGGCAGCATTCATTGTTAAACCATGTTTTTTCCTGTAAAGTTGCTGAAAAGAGAAAATATTAAAATAATGATTAATCATATACTTTAATATATACTTAATATTTATTATACAAAAGTTTTAATTTTTAACAGCAAACAAAAGCTCTAAAATGTTATGCACATTTCAAAATTTCTGGTATATGATTAAAACACTTGATAAAATTTCTGTAAAAACATACACCTTTGATGATTATTTAATATTTATTCTAAGCAAAATTAAAAGAAATGAAATTGACTGGAAATTGTATTATTTGTTCCAGACCTTTATAAATTTCTCATATCCTATATTGTAATGACACTTCCAATGGAGAATTATGAGCATCACAGCTGAGAAAACTGGATATATATTTGGCTGCTTTCTCATATAAAGTCAGTGGACTTTGGTTCTTACTGAAAGGCCACATTCTTTGTTGATAAAAACATGAGAAATTAATTAGGATTCTACTATAATTTATTCAACAAAGAAATATAAGTGACTTTGGACAACTGAACCATGGACAAATTCCTACAACCTGGGAAGTTTGAAACCAGCCCTAAATTGAGTTCTGCTGCTAAGGAGCAGAAACATTAATATTCAACAATTTCCTTCAAGCAACGCTTTATAGATAAATTGAATGTACTCATTAACTACACTTCCCCTTCCATATACATTTCTACTTGTGAAATTTATGATGATATGGTATGTACTTTGTGCAGTACATATATATATATATATAAACATATATATAGTAATAGAAATGTATATGCTATAATGGAAGTTCTGAGCAAGTAGAAATGTTACAACATTATTTAAAATAAGGAACCTATCATTCTCTGCTGAAGTTGTAAAAAGAGTGTTGACCTTGTGCTCCATTTATGCTGAGTGCACATATATCACATTGGATCAAAGTAACTGTACCATTTTAGAAACTCTGTGCTAATTTGAAGGTCTCATTATCATCAACTTCAACTAACTAATACTTACTATAATAATTGAATTCTTTCACTTTTCATTGTCCATCTTAACTAACACTTCAGCCAGTTATTTCCTATTTTTATATGCTAACATTCATACATTTGAACAGAGGCTTTTTCATTGGATGTGAGAAATATTTTGCATCACTCTGAAATTTTGCCTGTTCCCTTTATTAACAAAATTTTATTATCACTTTTGTCAAAAGTTACTTAATATGTATGAAATGATTTACTTCACCAGAGTAACTTGTTTGAAGTTGCCTTGATGTCAGTTTATTTATTGCTGATTTTCATCAAATGAGTAGAGTGAATTATATTTAGCATTTGATGAAATTGGAAAAATTATAATTACTATGTTTCCCATTATGTAATGTGCATTTTGCTCCAAATACTTTGCTAAAAAAATTACCTTGCACTTTATATTATGAAAGCTTTGGTTTCAGGAAGTCCAATGAGTTGATTGGTATTAACATATTCTGTGCCATTGTGGCTTTTAAACAGGATCAGAATGAAATGTGCATTTTATGACAGAAAGATTAAATCAAATCCATATACATTTATGTACACTGAAGAAGAGAAGCTATAAAATATAGTAGTTGTAAGTATTAAATTAGTATTAATCTGAAAGATGCCAATAGAAACAGAGGATTGTGTTGCTTAGACAAAAACTTTTAAAATACTAATTGATGTGGTATTCTTTTGTCTACTTCAGGCATTCATTTGTACAACATGTTGAGTAGAAATATCAGTATTTTTTTTGTCCTAACTTTCTCATCTAAACTTGTTGCCTATTATTTCTTACATTAATTGGAGTTATTGTTGCAATATATAAATCTTCTTTGTCACTCTTCTAAAGTTGTAAACCTCTAACCTCATACTTAAATAATCGATTTTTTGTGAGCCCACCTTAAATGCTTTCTTCAGTTTTTCTATAGCCTTATCTTGGAAAAATTTACACATTCCACCCCAAGAAACACCATAGCTTGTGAAGAATGCTAGCATGTCAAACTCTATCAAATGCTTTTAAGATATCCAAATCTATATGCTGAGTCTCACCATTCTTATCTAAAGCTTGATAAGTGACAGCTATATTATTTATCTGAGGGAAGATCATGTGAAGTGAGATGCTTAACCTATTCACCATTTCTAAAAGAGAGGAAATGTAGAAAGGGATTTCCAAGAAGCTGGAAAGCAAGAAGCAGCAAGGCATTTGTTACAGAGTTTGGGGAGAATAGAAGCCAGTTCATGAGCACATTGTATTATGACAATTGCAGGGATATTGTCAAATCCATAATGGATCTAGTTTGGAGACGAACTGTGAAAGGAATAGAAATGCAATTTGTGCAATGTTTAATTTTTTAATCCTATCTGTTACTTAATAGTGGTAGTTACAGCATCAATTATGCTATTATGTAGCAGACACTGGGTGTGTCTGTTATAAATTATTTACATTACATACTACACATTTTTTAAGATAGATATAGAAGAAAGAAAACTGGAGCTAAAACAATTTCTAGGTGAGGTTTCTATTTAATAGCAAACAGTTTTTGTTAGTAATTTATATTGGGTATAATTTGAAAATTAAGATAAACAAAACTACAATGCTTTGTGGTCTGCAAAACTAATGAAGTAAATTTGGAGATGAGGATTTTAAATGAATTTAGAACAATTATTGAATTACATTGATACATTATAGAAAGATTATAGAAAGATTATAGAAAGATTATGAGATTAAAACTGATTCTGTATGGTGATGAGTGAATGATTAGCAAGAAGTGCATTAATTACATTATCTTGAAACATGAAGTATTAATGGAAAAATCCAAATACTCCTTACTATATGTAAGTAACAACAAATATTTTGGTCATTAATTATAGATATTAAAAAAATGAATAACTGAAGAATGCATGGAATAAATTTGTGAACAAAGCTAATAATAATTTTAAATTATAATGAACATCAGAAATTTATCAGTAATTGAAGCATCTTTGTACACATGTAAAAATATAAACGAAAAGTAATGAAATTGTGAAGCTATAAATGAAAAAGCTGACTTCAAAGGAGGTTCACTTGATATAGTATCCATCTACAGCAATCAATAATAAACTATTCTTTATCAGATGTTATTATGCAAGTCAGTTTTTACACAATAAAATTAGTATTACTCAACCAATATTGCTAAAATTTTCAGAATATATTGATATACTATACGAATTTCAGTTTATAATGTTTTTAAAATATTTAGAATAACATATTAAAAAGATTATGTAACTTGAGAGTTGTTGATATTGGAAATTTTATATATATATATATATATATATATATATATATATATATATATATATATATAATAGTTAATGGTTAATGATATTTTTTATTTAATTTAATATATATAGAAAATGCTATGAGTTGTGTGTGTGTGTATATATATATATATATATATATATATATATATAATAGTTAATGGTTAATGATATTTGTTTATTTAATTTAACATATATACAAACTTCTGAATAGAAACAAGTTGTTATTAAGTTATTCAATGACAAGAACACAATATTGGAAATTGCAAAAAATCTGAACATATAAAACAATCGAAAATCAAATTGAAAACATTGGAAAAATAAGAACGAAAAAAAATCTGGCTTTAAGGATGTTACAAACAGAGATTAGAGAAGAATAAAGAATCAATAAGTAAAAAAATTTGAGTGACTAGTAAGAAAATATTTAAAGAAGCAATTACTGCAAATCTAAAACAGAACGAAAAATATAGCCTATTCAGAAATAAAAGAAAAATGTCTATCTTCTTTAAAATCACATTCAAAGACATTGTAAATTGTTCCAAAAAGTGCATGAAAACTAATTTCTCAACAGCAATTTTTAATTTACACTGGATGTATCTGAAGGCTGAGTTGAAGGTTGAAACTGTCATGGAAATATTCAAGCAACATGACAGAAGACAAACAGATGGGAGGTAAACAAATGTCTTTGGCTAACATTATTGACAGTAACATTATAAATCCCTTCAAAGTTGATGATAGTGCCAAGGTAAATGAAGAAAACTGTTGTAATTTCTTGGATAATAAATTTTGGGGGTAATAAAGGTCACAACCAAAAGCTTTAAGCTGAAGACTAATGCAAAACTTTATTTTGAAAAGCTGACTATAGTCTACATTACCAAAAAAAAAGTTTCAATGAAACCAAATTAATGGAATGGTTCCCAATCTCTCCAGATATTAATCCAATTAAAAACTTGTGGCTCCTATCATTAAAGGATATGTATATGAGAATAGAGAATAATATTGATGGAAAGAAGATCTTTGGGAAACAATAAAAACTATTGCATGTTAAAGTTAAAACTGTAGAAAAGTTAACAAAATCAGTAGATGAAAGATGAATGAAGGTTATAAAATATCAAAGTGTCTATATTAAAATATAAAACAATAATCTGCCTATATGGGATACTGTGTTAAACAAAGATATGTTTCTATGGCCTATGTCTTTTGGATTTATTTATAAATAAAAATTTATGTTGCACTATGTTTGTATAACAACCTGACAACCCCCAAACAAGTTATTCATATTTTCAATAAGCATAGACATTAACAAATGAAACTCACATGATATATTTTGCCCATATTAATATATCCTAACCCTATACAAGGCAGGGATGTTTAAGGTATTTGATATACCTGCATACCCAATGTGTGACACTATTTAGCTATGGTAATTAATTTACTAATTAGCCATGAAAATTGAATGGGAAAATGCTGAAAACAGAAAAGAAGGGTTAAAAAATTATCCCAAAGGATATACTGTTCGACATAAAAAGATTTTATTTTCTTTTCCAAAAAATCTATTTATCTCAAGAAAACGAAGAATTACATGAATGATAATTTCATAAAAAGGCAATGTGGTGGTCTCTGACAAATGATTAATGATGTCCATTAAAAGTGCTGGTTAAGAAAACACAAAATAACCAGAAGCGATGAAGATATCGTTCGAGAATGCATAGATATTAGGAACTGGTCAAGCAATAGAGCCATATG